CCAGGAAGCAGCTCTCTTGATATATAAATAAAAGATCCATAGTAAATATATTACAACAAGCAATAAAAAGAACTTCCACAAATGGAGTAAAGAACCATTAAAAGGTATGGTTCCTTTTACCTTGATTTTGTTTTTCAGGAATCAAGCCAGATGCCTGTTGGAGCAACAAGAAATGTTTGTTCCTTTTAGTAGAAGCAAAATTTTACAGTGCCAAATGACAGAATGGGAAATTAATGACCATACCATATACTGGCATAAGAGGAACCAAGATGGCTCCCTGAAATTATATATCAACAAGGAGACATCTATGACTCTGGTCTCCAGAGCAACTTTATTCAAAAGGCCAATTCTCCCTGGAGAGTCTTGAAACCACCGTGAAAGAGGACGGGTCTTATTACTGTGCTGCTCTATGGGTGGTGCTGCTCCTCTGCCTCCAGATAGGTCACAAACCAAATCGTGCCCTTCGCAGCTTCCACACTGTCAGCTGACCGCCAGTGCAGTCTAACTGTAGATCTATCACAAAATGTACTCACGTCCATTATTTCATGACCGTATGAAGTCATATTATCCCAATTTTATTGTTTAGAAAACTGAGGTCTTGAGAGGTTAAGTGATTTGCAATAAGTGATGGTGTCAGGCACAAATCCAGATTTTCCAAGCCTTTCTAAGTACAGTAGTCTCTGAACTACGGCACAGCTACTTCTTGAGAACTAGAGAAGGCACTGAAAAAAGAGGACCCCCCGCCAAGTTCCAGGACCCCGACCAGTCTTATAGGTAGTGTTCTGTCTGAGTCTTGTCTGAGCAAAGGTAGGGCTGCCTGCTCTTAACAGTCTGTGCAAATGCAAAGAAATGGAGGATGAGCTCAAGGAACTCACTTGAAGAACAGAAAAGCAGCTCTCTGCTTGAGATTATGGGAAGTGAATGCTGAAACATAAATTCAAGGTCTTGCTAAGGTCCCTAACACCTCAAATATTTCCTTTTTGTTTCTGTTCTCAATAAACACATCTTCCTCCATTGCTATATAATCCATTGGTTGATTTGCCTGGGACCCACAAGCAGCACTGTGGCCCTGAAAATGAAATATTCATGACCTCAGCCTTACAGCCATCTCTAGACATCTTACAGAAAAGCAGAAAGCACTTGTGGCAGTTTATATATTAGGGTCAGCAGTCTGTTTCTTAACCCTCCTCTGTCTGGTCAGGCTGAAGGGAACAGAAGTTTCTATAATGATATAGTCTATCTTTAAAGCCACAACCCAAAGACCTGGCGTCCTTCCTATGGTCATGATCTTGGGAATGAGCTCCTCACTGGTCTTCCTTTGCTCTCCTTGTATGTTGTAGACAGCAACTCACATTCAAGTCAAGCATCCTGTGGGCAGAAAAAAATTATTTCATTTCAATCAGCACTTCTGAGGAGCAGTATAAGTTCCACAAGAAGTTTGGAGGGATTACCTAAGAGATAAAGACAGATCGAGTAACAAGTGTGAGGCAGCACTTGTACATCATAAAGCACTACATGCAAAGGCAACTTCAGAATTGCTGAAGAGTAGCAATCTCATTGGAAGATGCCTCGGGAACTTGCCTGAGGCTATATTTTCATAATCTGAAGACGTCAAAATGGGAAGCTGATGGAGATGATGGGGAAGGATGGATAAATCCCTCCAAACCACTTTTGCCTCTGCTATTAACCACTCAGGTCTCAGGCATCCTTGTTTTTATAAAAATATATCAAGGAGGAAACTAACAAATAGCCAAGCAATGAGTCAAGTGTTTGCAAATATCATTTCATTTATTCCTCACAGGCTGAAAATAAACATTAGTTCTCCTGGAAAATCACATGAAAAAACAGGCATCCCCCAGGTCATGGGAAGATGTGGTTAAGTGCTGGCCTTGACATAGAAAGAATCAGCACAAGGAACAGCCTGCACAGAGCCTGAGAAAGGTAGAGTCCAAGGGCGAGGCCCTGGCACACTTTCCTACCTTCCACCTGGGCACCCCAAGATAGGCTACATTTGTATTCAAATTCCATCTTGCTCCTGCCGTGTGACCTGACCAAGAAGGCCAAGGTGTGCTGCAGGTCCTGGTTCTCCCAGACCAGGCACGGCACAGCTTCTAGACATCCACTGCCCTAAGCTTCTACCGCATCATAACTGGTTACCTCCCCACTACTGTCTTCTATCTCTGGCTTTGATTTATTATTAACATTGACTCACTCCTAGTCAGGCCTTAAGGAAGGTTGCTTTTGCCCATTAGCAATCAACTCTTAAAATTGCCTCTAACCTATCGCAGATATAAGTCATAGTCATAAACATAAGCACATTCTTGGGATTTTTTCAGAATGACTTTCTGAATAATTTGGGAGAGCTCAACAGTAATTATCTAAGAAGACAGACTTCTTTGAGCCCAGCTAATTGTTCTTTTGCTATTAGTGCAATTTTAAGCCCACAGCACTTCCTCCTGCCTCAGGGCTTTTTCTTACATGTCCTCATTTTTTTATAAATAGAATAATCTTTCCCTACACATGCCCCCTGATACCTGGTGTATCAGGCAGAGGATACTCTTGAATTGGTGATTGAGAGAATCTAATGCAAGGGGCATTTACAAAAGTGTGGGCAGGTGTTATGGATTAAATTATGTCAAAAAAAAAAAGAAAAGATATGTTGAGTTCTCACCTCCAGTAGCATGGAAATTGACCTTATTTGCAAATAGGATCATTGAAATTAATATAATTGGTTAAGATGAGGTCAGGCTGGAGTAGGGTGGGCCCCAAACACAATATGACCAACATCTTTATGAGAAGCAGTTGTGTGAAGACAGAGATGGAGAGAGAACACAGTGTGACCAGGAAGGCAGGGACTGAAGTGACACACCACAAGCCAAGCCAAGAACACCAAGATTGCAGCAAAGCACCGGAAGTTCAGAAGGGACAAGAAAGAATCCCCCTACATGTTTCAGAGGAAGTACAGCCCTACTGACACCTTGATTTTGGACTTCTAGCCTCCAGAACAGTGAGGCATTACATTTCTATTGTTTTAAGCCATCCAGTTTGTGGTTCTTTTAAGGCAGTCAGAGGAAACTAACGCAGCTGGGTTGTGGGAAACCAAAAGATATGGTGAAACACCCTGGGTCTGACAACAAAGAAGCCACTACCACCCTAATCCTGAAACATGATGTAGAGGAGCCGTTACTGGATGCTGCAGGTGTAGGAGAGAAGCTATAGCCTGCAGTTGAAGAAAGATGCCTCTGCCAATATGCATTCCTGCAAGAAATAATGGATGGTAATAACAACGTACCTCACTCTCCTCCTCTCCAATCTCCTAATAGTACCTCCCACTGGTCAAACTAAATGGCATAGCAGAGAGCAAGGGAACCAGGTGGATGTTGTCCATTAAGGTCAGCCTCCTAGAGTAAGAAGTAGAATAGACCTGGAGGGACAAAAAGACTCCATCTAGCATAGCTGGGTAACTTCTGCTTTGGAGTCTTATCTGTAAAGTCACGTCTTTAGGGAAGCCTTCCCTTACCAGATCCTGGCCCCAGTAACATGGTCTCATATTACTTCTGCTTCTACGCAGTACTTATAGCAGCTGCAGTGGAGGAATTCATTATGCAAATTATGCATTAAGTGATAACTAGGTCTCATGCTAGAACATACGTTTTATAAGAGGAGAGATAACATCTGCCATTTACCAGTGAATCTTTAGGATCTAGTGAGTAGTAAAATGACTAAATTATAGGATGTGCCAAGAGCTAAGAGCCTGATATAAAAAGATGAAGTATGTAAGTCCAGAGAAGCTGCCCTCAACAACTCTCAAAGAGCTATAGAGAATGGGCATCATTGTGTCCATCAGGTGAGTACTGATGATGGATTTTGTCATTTCAAAGAATGAGACCACCTTAAGTACTTGCTAATGGTCCTCTAGGAATGGTGGTAGTGGGCAGTTGGGTAAATGAGATGACTCAAGGGTAAGGAGAGCAACTACCATGAGATTAAGCAAACTGGAGCTTGCTTCTATCTGAATTTCTTCAGGTCAGTCTGGTCCCAGTCACATGGGGGAAAACAAGAAAGTTTAGGTGGGTCTCTCCTCCACTAGCAAGGGAATTTAGGTCCTGCAGCTATCCTCAGATGTTGGGTGCTAATGCTCCTGCTTCTTTGCATACCAAAAGATCCTCCTCCCAGCTTCTGTTGTACCCTCTAGTTTCCATTATTAATTTACCTGTTTATTTCAAAATTGCATAGATTATTGTTCTTGAAATTCAAAAGTGTAGGTCCCAAAAGTTCAAGCATGCCTCTGTTTTGAAAACATATAAATGTAGGCTGTCATAAACTGGAAGGTAGTGGTGGTTTCTAAGTTTTTTTTAACAATATTTGGTTCTATGTAATTCAACATAGGTGACCTATCTTCAGAAAAGACAGATGATCTCAATGAAGATCAGGAAACTGGCTCAAATTTGGAAACAATATTTCATTGGCTTGCTCTTTTACACTTGGGTGAATCACCCTTATGCAGCTATCCAACTCTGCCTGGAGGGAGTTTGCAGTAAACACAAAATCATTACAACACCCGTAGTCCATCGATTTCCTTATTTGATGGTTCTTTTGATTACAGCTGTAAATATCAATAATTCTCTTGGCATTGACTGTGACATCACCACAGAGCATATAACAAGTACATCTAACATGAAAATGGAGCATAATATCAAACGTAACTTCTAAGGCGGGAAGCAGAAACCTTGTCATCAAATAAGCTGTCTTAACCTTTTTTGAAGTGTCCCCTTATCTGGACCACATTATCAATCTTGAAGGTGGTACTATCATGCCAGTAACAGGCTACAAGCTCTGTGAAACTCCTGTGATTTGGCCAAAACCCCTCATGGGAAACAGAACAGCTGCCGACAAGGGCTGATTTCCTCAGTCACAAATGTGTCACAGAGAAGGTGTTGACTCAGAGGAGGGACCAGGCAGAGTGTGAGTTCGGAGGCAGACCTATCCCAAGTGGAGCCATGCAGAGGAACTTCTCGCTCATCTATCTCACCCTCTTCTGGACAGGTAAGGTAGATCCTGGAAACTAAATCAAGTAAGAATAGCAACAACGAGAGATCAAGACTGCCAGGGCCAGGAGCTCATGGACAGTGCCCCTTACTCGATGATTGTAGCCCCAGTTCTCACTGAGGCCCTCTCATGTCTTTGCTTTCAGGAGTCATGTCAGCTATCGTGTTGGTATCTCAAGACCAAGAGGTGACTATGTCCTTGGGGATGTCTGCCACCCTCAGGTGCTCCTTGAAGGGAGAAACGATCAGTAACTACTATATCAGCTGGTACAGGCAGACCCAGGGTAACACAATGACTTTCATACACCGAGAAGGGGGCATGTATGGCCGTGGTTTCTTCGGCAAGTTCCGGGCTAACATTAATGATTCAAGCAATGAGGCTGAGCTTGAGATCCTTAAAGCATCAGAAAGAGATGAAGGAATTTACTACTGTGCCAGCGACTACCACCCTGCTGCTGGCCCACTTCTAAGCAGCTCAAAAACCATAGAGATCCATGTAGAACAGCAATTCCAACAAGGTCATGATTTCCTCTTCAATAAATAGTTTAAGAAATGGGGGCCAGAGAAGGCTGATATTACTGCCTTTCCTTCACCCTTGGTCACTCATGAGCCCTCATATTACTCAGAGAGGCCACCTCCAGTGGGGTGTGGCCCACTGTGGGACCAGAGGAGAGACAGAGCCAAAGTCAGGAGTTGTAGCATTCACTGTACACTTTTAACAGTTTTTTTGAAGCTTCATAAAAGATTTGGCCACACACTAAGTGCTGAGGGCATTAGATTAAAGGGGCACTTTCCAAAATATGACTACACGTAATGGATGTCCAGTTTCTCCCCCAATCACATACGCCATGAATATAGCTGTTCTGGAAGAGAGGGGTTGGAAAAGTGGGGACACTCCCTTTCTTCAGCATCAGTAGTGTGCACGGCATGCCATCTTGCCCAACATGGAAGGCAAGATTCAATCTCTGGCATTCTGTATTGTTTTGATGATTACTGATTGAATATGGCCTTTTGACCTCCCTTCCTTCTCTACCTTACTTCTATATGTGCTAGAAATAAAGCCTGGAGAATTTCTTTCTCATCCTTCTGTTGACAACTCAATTTAAACTCCACTTTTATCTTAAACAATGTACTTTCCCAGACATAGATGATTGACAGACTATTCTGAGGCTAAACCTGTGGCTGTCCTTCTGGCCTCATCTAGAATATCTATCACTAACCTTATAAAATACCTCATTGGAACTTTTGGTGGTGATGGATATGTTCAGTAACTTGATTATGGTGATGGTTTCATGGATGTACAGGTATATAAAATTTATCAGACTGTGCACTGTGAATATGTGAAGTTTATTGCACATCAATAAAGTTGAAAAAATATTTTTTAATTTAAAATTTAAAAATTGACAAAGCCTCATTAGACTACTTCAAGCAATGTCTAGGGAATACTTTTTTCAACTAACCCTTCTAACCAAATATTCTGCTTTTCATAGAAGTGCAAAAAGGCTAACAAGTTTGTAGACACATACAGTCGGTTCCAGTCAGGGCTCCTTATTGTTTCACCAAGAGTATTCCCAAACCTCCCACCCCTCATGATCCTGCCTGGCCTTTCATTCATAGGTATATAGATAGATGATAGATAGATAGATAGATAGATAGATAGATAGATAGATAGATAGATATATAGATAGATAGAATGTATATTGTTATAATGTGTAATTATTCTGTGCATTTTAGCCATGATCTCATGTGCTCTTCTCATTTATCTTCCCTAACAGGTACATTTCCAAGAATCTCTCTTTTCAACTCTCCATCTCAAGCCCACTCACTCTGTCCTAGTGTCCTAATTCCAACATAGGCCTGTACCTGGCCTCTACCTCACTACCCCACCCTGTTGGATGGTTTCTCTGGTGAAACTATCTCAAGGCTCTGAATATTGACTCTGCCCTTAGACAAAATCAGGTTCTCAGATCCCTATCCAGATTGGGCACCCTGAGCCCTACATTCCTGAAAGGGAATTTGGACCCAACTTTCCTGAGATGTACCCAAGTTACCACACAGGCCCTATCATACTCATCTAGCCCACTACCTGCTTTTCATATCCTGTTGTTCTTCTTTAAATCTATGCTAGATTTAAAGGTGAAGAGAACTTCCAAGACTAAAGGGTACAATTCTTCTCCCTGTTTGAAATCATGACTTTGGAAAAGGAATGACATTTGGAAGCTAATTATGCAGATGCTGTCAAAGTTTTGGTACCATGTTGTTATAAGGTTTGCAAGATGGATTCCTAGGAGGAGACCCAGTGGATCCTCTGACAGAAACTTGGAAAAACATGTTTGAGCAGGAAGAGGGAAATATCCTGGCAAATTCATAAAACTGTGTGTTAGCTGTGATAACAATTAGCATCTGCTGAGTACTTGTTATAGTCCAGCACTCTTCTGAGCATTTTACATGTGTTCTATTATTTAATCCTCTCAACAACCATATAATACACTTTTTATTATTATCCCCATTTTATAAATGAGGACATGAAGGCACAGAAAAGCTAAAATACTTGCTCAAGTTTCCACAGGTAGCAAGGGAAAGCAACAGGTTTCAGACTCTGGAGAGTGTGCTAGAGTACGATGGGGTAACCATGGAAAAGGCCATCTCCAAAATGTTAGAAACAAGGAGCAACATGGCTGTGCCCTCACCACCAGACCTGTCCAAACTGATGCTCATGACCATCTGTCAAGAAATTGGAATAATGGAACAGTGATCCAGATGATCTGTCAAATGTTTTCTAACTCGGAGATTTTGTGTTCCTGACATAAACTTTACACTGTCTTCTAAAACCATCTAGGGCAGTGGTTCTCAACCTTCTGGCCCTTTAAATACAGTTCCTCATGTTGTGACCCAACCATAAAATTATTTTCGTTGCTACTTCATAACTGTAATGTTGCTACTGTTATGAATCATAATGTAAATATCTGATACGCAGGATGGTCTTGGGGGACCCCTGTGGAAGGGTCGTTCAACCGCCAAAGGGGTCGGACTCACAAGTTGAGAATCACTGCTCTAGGGTGAGGGCTAAGGCTAGGATTACGCCTAGGGCTATGATTACAGTTAGGTTTAAAGTTAGTGTTAAAGCCTGAACTAAGGTTCTGCTTAGGGTTGACAAAAGAGTTCCAACTTCACAGTGTTGTTGTAAAAAGCTAATGACAGCCGAAACCGGTTTGGCTCAGTGGATAGAGCGTCGGCCTGGGGACTGAGGAGTCCCAGGTTCGATTCCGGTCAGGGGCATGTACCTTGGTTGCAGGCACATCCCCAGTAGGGGATGTGCAGGAGGCAGCTGATCGATGTTTCTCGCTCATTGATGTTTCTAACTCTCTATCTCTCTCCCTTCCTCTCTGTAAAAAATCAATAAAATATATTTAAAAAAAATAATAATAATAAATAAAAATAAATAAATAAATAAAAAGCTAATGACAGAAAGTAAGTAAATTGGGTGGCACATATAGAGCTAGTCAATAAAAAAAAATGCTGCATATAAGAAAGAGGAAACTAAACAATGAAATAATTGAGGAAAAAAGTGAACTAAAATACTGAGTGCCGACAAGATGCAGCCACTTGTTTTTCATCTTTTCCCCCCATTTTATTGTGGTGACACTAGTCAACAAAATTATACAGGTTTCAGGTGCACAATTTCACAACACATCATCTGTATTGTGTGTTCCCCATCCCAAGTCAAGTCTCCTTTATAGCCATGTATCCCCCCACTTCTTCCCCTCCTTTCTCCCCACAATCACCACACTAAGGATACCACCACTTTTCAGGTGTGGACTCACTCAGTCCTTATAACCCCATGAGGTTGTTATTCTCAGCTCCATCTTACAGATGGGAATACTGAGCCTCAGGGGGACTAGGTAGCTTCCTGAAGGTTACAGAAGCAAAGCCGAGAACTGGGTCTGAGTCAAAGGCTGCCTGTCCTGGCACTGGGCTAGGGGCTGTGGGATATACTAAAAAAAATGCATCACCTGTAACAATATCAGAATGAAAGAACAGCTGAGGACAAGTATGTAAAGTCCAGTCATCTGTGTGATGCAGGGGGTGCCTTTGACTCCTTGGCCAGTCCCCACAAGGGGGTGGGGGTGGAAATAACTAACTCCTCCCACTTCCCAACTCTCCCTCCCCTGGTTTCAAACACCAGCTGCAATTTCAGCTGCCAGGCTGCTCTCCGGAGATGCCTCATTCCCTTGGCTGAAGGAGGACAGCAGCTACCCGCGGCATGGGAAATGACCCACATATCCCTCCTTCCTGATGCCTGTGGAAGGCAATACCTTGTCAGACTCCCTAGAGTCTCTGGGTCACTAATGCATTGACCGCCTTCTCCTTTCCTTCTCAGGGCCCTGCCTAGAATGGCAGTCCAGGGGTCTGGGGCCAGGGGAATGAGAGCTGGAGAAACTCCATGGGTCTCTGGCAGGTCCACAACATTGCTAACTTTACCATCCACAGTACAGTGAGGCAGAGTGTCTGAGTTGGTCTCTTCCATTCTCTGTTTTATTATCACTTATACCAAGGCAGCAAAGGCCTCAAGATCTGTTGTCCACAGTTCTCTGCATTCATAATGAGCAAACTGACCCCAAAAAGCACGGCAGTGAAGTAAGGTGCAGGAGCCACCATGTGAAAGAGTTGAGTTCAAACCAAACTTTGCTTTAGGGGGAGTCTGAGCCTGCCGCAGTGCCTCAGACAGGAAGTGCTGCCTGACAAGCTGTCCGCACTGACAAGGTGAAGACTTCAGAATCCAGGCTTCTTTCCTCCTCTTCCTAATACAGCATATTGCCCCCAAATGTTAATTGAAGTGACAGGAGTATACATCTCTGATTTATTTTTTTGCAAGGCACTTTACTCATCCCTCTCTGCTTAATTGTCCTCCATAGCATTTATCACTATTTGATGTGCTATATATTTTACTTCCTTATTTATCTGTTGTCTAGCTCTCCACTGGAATACAGCTCCATGAGGCAGGGATTTTGTCTGTTTCATTTATTGCCTGCGAATAAGTCTGGCACAAAATGGGCAATCAACAAATGTGTTGAATGAGCAAGTGAGTGAAGTATTTAATGAGTGAGTACTATATTCCCTACACTATGCTAGATGCTGGGAATGCAGTAGTACACAACACTGGTGCTAGCATTGCCCTCTGAGATGCTTTCTCTAAGCCTCAGCTAGCCACTAACAAAATGCTACTGACTGTAACAAGAATGTCTGAAGGGTTACTAATAGAGTACTCTAGAACACCGTGACTTACTCTTGGCGAGCAGATACCAATGTGCCAGTGTTCCTTGCACATTCCCTGTGGCAGGAGTCAAATGGGGAAGATAGCAGGCTTTCTCCTTTCACTACCTTTTCTCTCTGTTTAATCCCAGGGCCCAGGCCCTGAGGCTTGGACTATCAGAGAACATTTCTACTTTA